AAACCTCCCTGCCGTGAGCCCAGAAGGGAAAATCCTCTCCCCCTCTGCTGCTCGTTCCTCTGTCCGCTGCTGTCGAGGCTGATGGAGCCACGGAACCGTGTCACGTTAGCAGTCTGCAGGCTTGGGCGGTGATGTGCACGTGAAGGGCTCTGGAGCTGCCCAAACCCTTCGGAAAGGGGCATTAGATATTGAAAATGCTTCAGCTTTCCCTTTCTTTCACGGAAAGGTGGTTTCTGAGCTCTCTCTAGGTAGGTGCTCTCTGGCAGCTGCTGCACAGCTTGTCTGGGCACTGCTGCTGCCCCAGGAGATGCAGTGAGTCGCCGTGCGCTGCTGCATCGCAGCCCGATTGGATGCTGCGATAGTCACTGCTCGCTTTTCCTGACCAGGACCTCGCAGCAAGCCTCTGCTTCAGGCTCTGTCCCTTTCTCATCCCAGCTGGGCAGAGCTGCCAGCACACATTAGCTGATCAGCCTGTTTCTGTAGGTTGCAGCAGCAGCTGCAGCCTGGCTGTGAAGGGAGGATGTGGGGGGCTCTGCCTCTCCTGGAGAGGGAGGTGGGTGTGCGGCCATTTGACTGTCAGATGCGAGGGCAGGACCTGACCCAGTTTGCGACGGCAGGATGGGCTCGATCTTGGCCTTGGCTCACAGGAGGAGCCACTGACAGTCGGCATCAGCTGAGCCGGGCAGGGCCTTCCTTGGGTCGAGCTGCTGGCTGTGGTGGTGGTGATGGTTGTACAGTCGTGGGGCTGTTCTTTGCGGGGTGTCAGGTGCAGTTTGTTGTGGTCTGGAAGGGTAAGGCAATGCTGTCACAGCAGCTGAGACAGGCCTTGGGGACCTGCTGACAGATGCCCTTGCTGCCAAGGTGGGTCTCTCCTGGAGACTGAGGAGCCCCTTCCAAGTGTGCTCCCTCCCCCGCCCCGAGGCGGCACACAGGGCTCCCAGCGGTGGCCGCAGCGGAGGGAATGAGCTGCTTGACCTTGAGTTCCCGTCGCCACAGAGTGGCAGAAAAAACCACTGAGGATCACCCAGCGGGAGCCCGTCTGCCTGCAGTGGGGAACCCCTGTGCCAAAGGGCTCCGAGGATAGAGGAGGTGTGGATGGGGTGGCTCAGGCCACGGGACGTCGCTTGCACAGCCCCTGGAGCTCTGTGGGGTGGAGGACATGGTCTTTATCTGAGGCTCCTTGACCAGGCTCCTGCAGTGAGTTAGTGAGCTTCCAGCCCTGCTCTTCTGCACGAATTGGGGTCAGTCAGGAAGGTATTTGGGCACCTCCCAGCTGCGCTTCTGGAGCGGTGAGGCAGCGCCACGAGGGAGCAGGGACAGGGGTGCCTGGCAGGCCTGGGAAGGGGCTGAAGCAGGAGTTTGGGGAAGTCTCCTGCCAGCCTGCCTGCCCTGGGCAGCCCCGTGGTTTGGGGAATGGTATCCAGTGGCTCTTGTAAGAGGAAATGTTGGGATTGCTTGGCCAAGTGGGGTCTGTCCAGCCTGCTCTCCAGCCAGATGGGCCAGGACCAAGAGCTTCAGTGGAGGATGAAGCCCCAGCCTGGTGAGCAATGGCGGGATGTCCTGTCAGCAAGCTGCTCCCCGCCTGCAGCAAGTTCCAAAAAAACCTTCAGTCCTGTTCAGTGTAACGAGGGAAATTGGCCCTTATCCATATACATGTCTAATCCTCTTTGCTTCCTCGGGATTTGCTGCTGCAAGAAGTCTGCAGGCTGTCTCGCCGGGCACTTTGTTAAAAATCCTCTTGATTTGTCTCTTGGTTGGCCGTTGCTGTGACTCCTGTGAGTGCGCTGCAGGGCTCCCCGCCTGGCCTGGCACACTGCATCCAGCTCCCGTTCTTCGCTCTTGTTTTCTCTATTCTCTTATCTCATGGAGGCGGTTTTTCCAGGTCTCCTACCATTTCTGGAACCTTCTTAATTCTGTGTTAGACCAGATAAAGACAAGCAGAGCAGAGCCCGTTACCCTGAGGAGCAGCTTCTCTCTCATCACATGATAGATTTGTTTGCGTTGTGCCGGAGCACGTCTGCTGTCCTGACGGCTGTTTTGTCCTGAGCAAGGTTCTGTCAGACAGCGAGCAGCTGTGCCCTGGGTGCTTCCTGGAGTGCCTGTACTGGTTTAGAACGTGGCAGTATGGTGTGGAGTTGTGTGTTCACTGAGAGAAAGGATCTTGTGTGGGGGGGAGTGGGAAAGCCACCGAGAAGAACGTTAAGCCCCGCGAGCTCCGCTGGAAGCGCAGGGCTGGTGGCCCCGAGGGAGCTCCTGGCGGTGCTGGAGCCAAGGCTGTGCTTTAAGGGCTGATCCTGCG